AGACCCCCCCTCCCAAGCCGCCTGCGCCGGAGATGAACTTCCTGCCAAGCGCAGCTAATAACGAATTTATTTACTTAGTCGGATTGGAAGAAGTTGTGCAGAACTTGCTGGAAACTCAAGGTGAGATAGCATTACAAGTGCACCTCAAAGGCGAGGAGAGAACCTTTCCCATCTGGATTTTATCTCAATGGCAGGCAGCAAGGAGTTTCAGGTGTCGGAGGATTAAATTGTCATACTCTGTCAAATCACTTCCTTTAATAATTTTCAAACTGTTTTATTTAAAATTCTAAAAAACATCTAAAACATTTCTAAAAAAAAAAAAAAAGTTACAATTTCTCATAGGCTAGGCACTGATTGTAAAGACTTCTCTGAAATGCATCCAGTTCTCCCCGGAGCTGTTGATGTCCTAGCAGCCTCTTGCTCGTCCGGCACCACGAGATGTTCTAACCAGTAGCTAAAGAAGCATCCACTGGGTGCCTACGCACACACTCACAGAAGGGAAGAGTTTAAAGATTTATAATGCAAAAGGCTGCAGACCGAGGGGTGGAGGGTTTGCTTTGCATTTTTTTTTTAATGCTGGAATATTCTTGAGGTTTCCCAAGTATCACTCACTCACAGAAGCCACAGATGGAGCTGAGCTAACCTGGTTGTGTTCTCCAGGTAAAGTCTCGGTTGCTGTCTCATCTCGCGAGCCCTATATGTGTGCTCAGTGTAAGACTGACTTCACCTGCCGCTGGAGGGAGGAGAAGAACGGAACCATTATGTGTGAAACCTGCATGACATCGAATCAGAAAAAGGCCTTGAAAGCTGAGCACACTAACCGACTGAAGGCTGCCTTCGTAAAAGCGCTGCAGCAAGAGCAGGAGATTGAGCAGAGGATACTGCAGCAGTCTCCCGTACAGACCAAGGCAGACCCTATAGCGCAGCACCACTCGCTCAAGCAGGTGAGGCTCCTGGGGATGGTGGGACAAGGGTCCCGTGGCTCCAAGCACAAGCGCTCGGCGTGCAGGCGTGAAGCTGCTGCGTGAGCTCGCTGTATTTAAGCTTCCCAGTCTGGGTGTTTGAGTGTGGGCTTAAAACCCGGCTGGGTAAAGTGGTTTTTGTTGTGTGGGGACCTGATACTTAAATTATGTTCTCTGTACCTGAAGAACAGAAGAGAGTGGTGTTTTCCTGCAGTGTGATTTTAATTATCCAGGATGTTTAACTCGTGTCCTGCAAACTCTGTTCCTGAATATTTTTTTGGATGTACCAAATGGAAAGAGGTGCTCCAGTGGCGAAGGCACAAGAGTAAATTGACTTAGGATAGGGGGAAAAAAAAAAAATTGGCTTGAGCCAGGAACATGTAATGTTGCTTGTGAAGTTCTAAGGTGCTGGTAGCAACCATCCATGGCAGACTGGGTCTCGCACGCCTTGTAAAACCACCTGGCAGCTGGGGGAAGACAAAAGCTCTTTAAGTTCTGCTTTGGGTTGAAATAATCAAGGTACTGGTGATCTAGGAGAGGGAAGCAGAGTGCTGCCTGTGTGTGGAGGTGCTTACACAGCGTGTTTTTTGCAGCTTTGCCGTTGATTATAATTCCTCATCCCTACAGGTGCTTTCAGAAGTAGAAGGTGGGTTCTTACTTTGAGGTAGAGGGGTCTTGGAAGTTTCCAGCCCTGAAACTGTAGTAACGCATTCCACGCTTGGCAGAAGCAGCCAGGGAAGGAGAGGGCTGGTGAAGGTTCATGGAGGCTGTTGTACTTGAGAGACAGAAAACTGCTATGCCTGTCTTACCCATTGCTCTCTTGGCAGACTTCTAGCCAGATGTCTCGAGGTCCTCCTGGAGCTCCGCGAGGAGTGTTGCATGCATTTAGCCAGTCACCCAAGTTGCAGAATGCATCGTCTGCAGCAGCACTTGGGAGCAGGCCAGGTAAGCATGCTGAGAGACCTGTCAGCAAGGGCAGCGCTGCCGCCTGGAAGAAGACTTCCATCAATACAGGTAGATTTTTCTCTAAATTAGTTTCTTTTCTTTGTACTTACTAGCTGCACTCTATCCAACAATCATAGTTCTTTGGGTAAGGGTGCTTTCTCTTTGACACTTCCTGCATGAAGGCCTGACGGTACCGAGGCTTTGCTCTTAGCGTGGTTCTTGGCACTTGCTTTTGGTGTGGTTTTATGCTAGTCAAAAGGGGCGGTCAGGTGGCACTACCAAACCGAAACGTCTGCTGTACCCATTTATAAAGAGACTCAACAGATGTAGTGTCCGACTGCTCGTCGTTGGGTCCGTGTGTGCAGCCGGTACTGCGCTGCAGGAGTTGGTCATTGGCTGAATTCAGTCATTTGGTTTCGACTGGTGTTTTCTCTTTGAGGGTGACACGCAGTGAATGGGTGGGTTTGCTCTAGGGGGGGCTCAGTGCACACTGACCGAATCCCAGCATGGCAGGAGTTGGCAGGGACCTCTGTGGGTCACCCAGCCCAACCCCCTGCCCAAGCAGGGTCACCCAGAGCAGGCTGCACAGCACCGCGGCCAGGCGGGGCTGGAATATCTCCAGAGAAGGAGACTCCACAGCCTCCCTGGGCAGCCTGGGCCAGGGCTCCGTCACCCTCAGAGGGACAGAATCACACAGAGTCACAGAATGGTCGGGGTTTGCAGGGCCCTCTGTGGGTCACCCAGTCCAACCCCCTGCCGAAGCAGGGTCACCCACAGCAGGCACTCCCAGTCTTCCTCGGGGTTTGGCATAACTAGTGCTGTTGCTTTGATCAAATGGAAATTATAAATTCTAATGTAATTTTTTTTTTTAGATATAGAAGAATCTGACTTGAGGAGTCATTTGTTTTCTTAAATGATAATTAGGGTCTCCAGGAAGGAAACACTATAGCAACAAGCTCTTTTGTGATCTACTTCCTTGCCCAGTATTGAATGGATTTCTTTTGCTTTTTCATTCCTGACAGCTTAATTTATCACTTAAAATATAATTTCACTGTGGAGAGCTCTAGCCTCATCAAATCTTCGTTTCTGGTACAAAATCTTGCTCCTGTTTGTTCGTATGATTTTGGAAGCTTTTTTCTTGTGAAGGTGTCTGGCCTTCGTGGCCAGTAATGCCCCATGCTCAGATGATCCATGCTGAGGTGATCTGTTTTCCTGCGGGCGCAGTGCGAGTAGCGTGGGTTTGCTGGTGTTTTGTCTCGTGTTTTTATCGCCTGATGACGTTTGTTCTCTCTTCTCTTTTCTCTCTCCTCAGGTGGGGCTTTACCGTTCGTTAATCCTAGTTTAGCTGTGCACAAGTCGTCTTCAGCAGTAGACCGCCAGCGTGAATATCTCCTGGATATGATTCCCCCGCGGTCCATCCCACAGTCCGCCACATGGAAATAATGCAGAGGAACGCCCGAGAGGAAGACTTTCCTGTTTCTGCCATCCTTTTTATACCACATTACAGTGGAATCTGCTTTAATCCCAGCTGGATATGCCCCAGGCTTTGTAGGATGCAAGAAGACCACTCCTCATCCCATCGAGTGCTGCTGTCCCTGCGATGAGAAAATGACACCGCGTGGGTGGGAAAGACTTGAGCGCATTTGGTTCTCAGATTCTGATGATTGACTGATGATGAAGGCTGTCGGGGAAGGGGAAGAATTCTTTTGTTTTCCTTTCTTTTTCTTTTTTTTTTTTTTGGCTTTATGTATTACGTTTGGATTTTTTTGTCACCAGCACAGAAGGAGGACTAAACGACTCTCTGCCTTCGGTTTCTTTATTAATAACTACCCATTCACCAGGACCACGGTGTTCGGTCGCCGTCGAGGGTGGATTGCAGTTCAAGGAGAGAGGACATTCAAGCCGATCTTGCAGATGCATTTAGTGACCCGAATTCACGTTTGCTTTTCTTCCCTGCCCCTGCTCCAGCCAGGAAGGCAGTCTACAGATTGTAATGTTTTGAAATCTTCTGGTGATGAGCTAATGATAAATAAGTGCAAACTCAAATTCCCGTTGGGTATGGGTTTTTTTTTGGTAAGGGACTGGCTGCTGCCAAAACTTGTCTGGTAGGTGGGAACCAGTGCAGGAGTCTCTCACTTTTGTTGGATTCTGTTTTGAATAGACTTTGAACTGTTGGTAGTCTAAAATCTAATTTACTGAATAGACAAACAACTTTGTTCGGTCTTTCTAATTCAGCGAAGAGCAGTTGGGCCTTTCGTATGTTCCCAGAGACTTAAAAATGAAACTGTTTTTGATTATTTTCTTTTTGGAGGGTTTTTTTGTTGTTGTTTTGAGCAATTTTACTCAAAAAAAAAAAAAAAAAAAAAAAAGGATTTCCAAAAGATGCCCGCAATCAGAA